CGCACAATTGATTTAAAAAAAATTGCAAAAAATATCTCGTTTTCTGTTGGCCCACATTCATTATTACACTCAGCCACACATGCCTGTGTGCTACATTGAAGACATGTCTGCCCAGGCCCCCATGCTAAAATGCTAAGAAAAATGTACTCAATATCCTGAGCTTTAAAAATCATCTCTCTGTCTCTTTCTGTTTCTCTGTGGATATCAGAGGACAACTTGTGGGAATTGGTTCTTTCTTTCTACCATATAGATCCCAAGGATGATTTTCAGGTCATCAAGCTTAGTGGTGGTGTCTACATACTGAGCCATCTCCATGGCTTTTAATTGTCTTTGTGTAATGATCAGTGGGAACTGGTAATAATTCATCAATCCATCAAGCTTGACACTATTCCCCTCCTCAGGCTCATGGGTGATTCTTGGAACTTTGAATGGCCAGTCACTGTGGGCATAATAACTTGGCTTTGTTTCATCTGCAGCCAAGTAAATTAGAAACTGCACAAGCTATCCTGCCTCCACCCACTCTCCCCAGAGCTATAGGTAAGAACCAGGAAGAAAAAACGATATTCTTTATCAAAAACATAATATAAAAGGGGCTTTGGAGGCTTGGCAGGGCACAGGGCCTGTGGAGTTATTAAAGAGCAGATAGGCCTTTGGACAAAAGAGGAGGGGTTGGGTAGCAGCTGCTTCCTCTGATAAAATGACCACACCTGGGACTGGCCAGAGGGCAGCTTCCATGAAAGAACAGAGCTGGGGAAGTTGCTGGACCTGTGGGTCATGGTAAGTTAGAGAGAAAGTAGCTTTAGAGTCCCATTTGTTTCATGTTCCACAAAGGCTTGTGTAGCTTGGGGAATGGAGCTGCACGCTGGTCATACAGAACTCCTTTTAGCATGCTCCCTCTCCATGTGGGTCCTGGCTGTGGCGGGTAGGCCCTGTTTCCTCTCCACAGACATTCCCAAGCCTGGCTATGTGTTAGACACTTAGGGGATTGTACGAAAACACCAGCCCCAGGGCACCCCATCCAGCCCCAGCTGAATTAGAATTTCAGGGCATGTACTTTGAACACCAGTATTTTAAAATATAAGTAAAAAGAAATTAAAGGAAGAGTTACCAATTTGGAGAAAAAAATTACAAAGCTACATATTTAAAGCCAGGTATGACATCTTGCACCTTTAATTCCAACACTTGGGTTGCAAAGGCAGGCGGACTTCTATGAATTTGAGGCCAGTCTAGTCTACATAGTGACTTCCAGGCCTGTCAGGGTTATATAATGAGACTTTGTCTCAACAAAACAAACTTACATATTTAATGAAATATTTGCATCTAGAACATCTAGGAAAAAAATTTGAGACAAGGCCTCACCTAGGCCAGCCTTGACTAAGATGTGATGTAGTCGGAAGAGCATCAACTAGAGCCAGTGCTGGACTCTGGAACCTCCAAAACTGCAAGATAAGCAACCATACACACACATAGCTAATATATATCACATATATTAGCTCTCTCTCTCTCTCTCTCTCTCTCTCTCTCTCTCTGTGTGTGTGTGTGTGTGTGTGTGTGTGTGTGTAAAAGCTGGGTTCTGGTATTTAAAGTAATAGAAATAGAAAAATACACCTAGCTTGCAAAGATACACTGAATCAAAAAATACTATATAGTATAGGAGGTACGTAAAATAGAGTTTGACACAAAACAACGTAGTGCTGTGTGTGGGCATTGTTACCAGGTATTTGGTAGATATATTTAATTTTCAAAATGGGGAAACTGAGGCTTAGAGAAGATCCAGGGCTCACCTTAAGTTTCACAGCTTGTTAGCAGCTTAGCCAGGCTCCAAGTCTAAACTCAGCCTGACTGGTTTCATATCACTTCAGATTCTATGTTTCACACATTTCCCTCTCCGGTGTCACTTCCTGCCTTTAGCCTCACTTTGTTAGCAATTTTATTCCATTGTTTTCCAGACTTCATTGAAATCTGCAGTTTCCACGGATCTTATTTTCCCTTTTCTATTTGTTACTAATTTTCGTTAACATACAAAACAATGGGCTTCACTGTGACATTTCATTTGAGAACATCTTTGGACTCTGCACATTCGCCCTCCTGATCCAATGAGTTGCCATGGGCACCATCACTCTGATGGGTTCCTGTCCTCAGCCACCCTGGAGTTCAGAAAAATTTGCTTCTCCTTTGCAAGCACCCTTAATCCCTTTGTTCTTTTCTCTCTGCTTGGGACCCTCTTCACTCCATTCTTATCACCAAGCAGTAACTGTTGCTGGAGACAAACACACAGTGGTAGAGTCAGGTTTTAATGAAGGCCAGGAGACAGGAAACAAGTATTACCAAGTGTGGAGATGGAGAGGAACTGGGTTATTGTTATGGAGCAGTGGGAAGGTTGGTTAAGTTCTAAGTGACATGGGGATGACAGAGGCAGGGAAATGAGATTGTGGGAGGGGACATTTGTGACCAAAGAGCACAGTAGTTTGAGACCTGGCTGCAAAAACCCACTGTAAATCTTATAATATTGGCCCAAGTTATTTTGGTTTTGTCTCTGGCTGAGGCTCTGAAGGATTATGGCTAGCCTCAGCAGGCAGATGAGTCAGTCAGAGAGCGTGGAGAGATGTTGTGGATGGGACCATCTGGGGAGAGGGGGAGAGGCAGGTGTTTCTTTTCTGGCGCCTGGTATGGTGGCGGATAAGGTGCGAGTGACATCTGGGTCTGCAGTGGAGCCAGGCCAGGAGCAGGCTGGGAAATGCTGAACAACCAATTCCATGGCAAATAACAGCAGCAAAAATGCAGTCCCAACACAGCTGATTTCAGTCTGCAGTGTGATGTCACTGGCTGTAAAGCTGGAAAGTGGTGTGACCTAGCAGGGCTACAAAGAGCTGGTGCCAACTGGCTCCAGCATCATACTGGCTGGGTGGGTTCTGAGCTCTCCATCCATCCCAGTGGTGAAGAAGTAGATCTTATACAGTGCTGTGAGCAAGTCGGGGGATGGGCTCCCAGGATGCAATTGTATGTGAGGGATGATTTGCATACAGGAGTCATCTCAGCCTGGGACTGTACCCAACTAGAAGGAGGTCTGGGGAAAACTGTGTAGTGCTCATTAACTGGCAGGGACCTTAGGTGTCGTCTTATGCCCCTGTGTCATCTGGGAAAAGAACCTTAATGAAAGGTTGTCTATATTGGGTTGGCTTGTGGGCATGTCTACAGGGGATTGTGGGTGTGCACCATGCCCTTGATGCTGTCCTGGAGTGTTGAAGACTAGAGAAGACAAATGGACCTGAGTATTACCAAGCAGGCAAGTGATCATGAATGCATCATCTTCTTCCTGTTCCTGTCCATGACAGCTTCAAGATTCTGTTGCTATGTCTTAACCCACAGTGATGGGCTGTGCCCTGGAACTGTGAACCGAAACAAACCTCTTTCTACCTTGTTTCTGGCTAGGGTATTTTATTACAGCAACATAAATTAAACTAGGACAGCCCCCTGGCAAGATGCCTGCCCCTTGTTCTGCTGTCTCTAATCAGTTCTATAATGATATCCCATAAATCTGTGATGAACAATTTTTGTCAATAAAATTTGGGAAGAATTTAAGTCACATTACTTGTTTCAAATAGCCAGGTAATTAATTCATGTGAACAATGCATTCATTTTTAAAGGGGCAGAAGTCCTTTAATCTGCATAAATCCACTTTGTTAGAGTTTTCATGCAGAATCAAGGGTGATTCCAGGAAAGGGAATGGGTAGAGTTGAGTGTGAGGCTTGGTTCTAGTTGATCCTTACTAAATGAAAAGCATCAAGTAATAGCCAGTATACTTTTGAGTTTGCTGTTGGTAATCTGTCTTGCTCCTTCATGGATGGAGACTAAATGTATAGGGATGAATGGTACTGTAGGGCTTTTCTTGTGATACTTCACCCAAGTCACAGAACTCCTGTCCTGCATTAGAACTGCCATGTCTGAAGCAGTTAAGAGCTCAAATGTTCGCTGCGAGTACATTGGCTGCCACACACAATCAGTGGCCCATGGCCAGCAAAATCTCATGTTTTGTGCAGTTGCCTCCAAGATTCTCTTCATTTCCTCTCCTTTCTTCTTCTTCTTTTTTTTTTTTTTTAAGTTGTCTATTGACCTACTTGTGGTCCTCTGGGAAGATACTATGGCCTGCAGCTCTAGAGAAAATGAGGGAAAGGGAGAAAGGCAATAGGAGAGCCGTTCCACAAATCACCAATGTGTAGGTCTTGGCATCCTGCTTTTGACCCTGGGTCGAGAGAGAGGAGCTGCTGACCTCCCTGTAGGTGATGGGCTCACTTGCTGAGGCAGAAAGTGTTGTGTATCTTCAGTAGCACTAAACCCCCTTGCTTGGTTGGCTTCTGCCTCTCAGTGTCAGCTTGAGGCTCATCAAATCCCAGTCATGTCTAAGTAATTGACTGTTTTTTTTTTCTTGTTTGTTTGTTTGTTCCTTTGCTATTATTTTATGCTAGCTGTGTGATCTGCTCCTTCTACTAGGAGAACCAATCCATCTTCCAAGGAAAGGGAGCATTAAAACAGAAACAGAGTAACTAGAGCATAACAGAGGGAAGAAACTAGGAGACCAAAAGCTGGGGCACCAGAATAGTTGCTTGTACTGAAAAGCACAGAAAATGGAAGCTATTACAATCAGGTCAAAACTTAGTCCCCTGTCTACCTACTGTTGGAGATCAGAAATACAGGGGAGCCACTTCACTGCCCCCTTGGTGCAGCTCACTACCAAATGTTCTAGAAGAGGCTGGGACGATGGCTCAGTGGGAAGGCATCTCCTGCTCACACTGTCAGCATGGGTTCAATCCCCAGGACCCATCTGATGGCCAGGGAGAACTGACTCCCACAAGTTGTCTTCTAGCATGCACACACAGGCATGTGCCCCCCCAACACACAAACAAACAAATGTTGAAATAGGTACTCTGAGAGAGTGACTTGAGCAGCAACCACGCCATCAAGCAACCTTGCCCTGGGATGTCCCTCCCCTGGACACTTACCTGATAGTATAGATGCCACAGCAGCAATGATGAAGGACACAATGACACCAGGTCCTGCCATTTCCTTGGCCACCAGGCCAGACACCACGTACATGCCAGTGCCCACACAGCTGCCGACTCCAAGGGAGATGAGGTCCACAGTGGTGAGTACCTGGGCTAGTTTGGTACCATGCGCTGTGGTAGTTCCAGTCCCTTCCAGCATGGACTCCACTGGTTTGGTGCGCAGGATCCGAGAGTGCATTGCATACCAAGCAGCCCCCCACTGCACCCGCCGTGGGTCCAGTGAGGCCAGAAAGCCACTCATTTTGATCAGGAGGGCTGCAGTGAAGGCTTGCTGATGGAAAAGGACTACAGAAGCCTTAATGGATGATGCTGGGACTCATGGAGCAATGAGTGTGTGTCCTTTTAAGAAAGGCCCAGAGGGACCCAAAGCAGCCTCGACTTGGGTGGGCATGAACGTCTGGAAGAGAAACACAAGAAAGAAGATAAGAGTACTGGGCATAAAATCATGACTGGAGACATATTGGGCGTCGCCTCAGGAACAGGTATGATGACACTGTCCTTTGTGCCACAACACGGGGACACTCCATTTCTGTGTCCTCCCTTCCGAGTTCCCTTCCAGTCCCATATGACAGCCTGAAGCTTGCCCCTTGTTTCATAATCATCCCAGAAGTTGGTTTATTATGATACCTGCTGGTGGCCATTTCCTACAGGGTTTCTCTGTATTGTTTTGGAGCCTGTCCTGGAACTTGCTCTGTAGGCCAGACTGGCCTTGAACTCACAGAGATCCACCTGCCTCTGCCTCCCCAGTGCTGCCTAGTAAGAACTTCCAACTTAAAATTTAAGAAAAGCTTAAAAAAAGGGTTTTAGAAACAAAAGAACAGAGACAAGCAAGGTTTTTTGAAAGCAGCATTTTTCTTGGTTGAACGCTGCTTTGCGAGAGACAAGCAGATTTTCACACGGCTCCTTTAAGGGAAGGTTCCTGACTCAGCATAAGCGGCGGAAAAACCACACAGCTTTTAAAAAGCACTGCTAACAATTTATTGGTGTGTATGAGAGATGGCAATGGCATTGATCACATCTCCAAGCCGGCAGCATGCTTGCTAGATGGCAGCACAGACCAAGGCAGTGGGCACAGCTTTCAGTGCTGGCGGTAAAATAGCCGCCACCATCTTTTATAAACCATGTCAGAAACAACTATGACTTTCATTTTAACAATGTTGTTGTTTACCAGATAAAAGACTTGTGGCTACAAAAAGATAATTTGCAGTAAAGACAGATTCATATTTAAAAAACCTCTAAAGGTTTACAGTGTGTTTTTAAAAATACGAAGGCTTGGGAGAAAAAAAAAATGGTTTTAAAAAGACAGAGAGGAGCTGGGTGTGGTGGCACACGCCTTTAATCCCAACATTCGGGAGACAGAGGCAAGCAGATTTCTGTGATTTCAAAGTAAACCTGGTATGCAGAGTGAATTCCAGGACAGATAAGAGTTACACAGAGAAACCCTGTCTCAAAAAAATAAAAAATAAAAAGTAAAAGAAACGGAGTAATAATAAAGCCACGTAAAGATGAAAAGCTCAGAGAGAATCTGGTTACTGTGTGGTATTATATTGTCTTTGTATTGTTTGACTGCTGAGGAAACAACCGTTAAAACAAATGCTGCTGAATTAATTCAATTTATATATTTTAAAAATGCTTTGACTCAAAAATTTAAGTTCAAGGACAAGTTTCTGGGGAAAAGGATTTCTATTTTTGTTTCAACAGGAAATAAAAAGCTGTGGATTCCTTCCAGACTAATGTGATTTGATCAAGCCAGACCCCCTGAAACAGAATTCCTGGTGATCCAACATTCAAAACAGCTTGAACAAGGCAGACTTGCAGACTACAGCCAGGATATCTGCACCTTCTTGGGATCCCCATAACAGCGCCCCCTATCAGCAGGAAGTAGTTTGGAAAGAACGACGCCCAAATTCCCAAATATTGTTTATAAAGGTAAAAAGGGGATTATGGTATAGATATGAATACTTTGTTTTGGAACAGACTTTCATTTATTGATACAAATTGAAGGTCAATTTTGTGAGTGTATATTCTCCTTTTGTTTAGGTATTGTGTTTATATAGCTCATTTAGAAATGTAATGTATAATGTAGTACAGATAATAGATAATTATCTATGATAGTCAAAGTTTAGAGTTAAGTTAGTTAGGTTTTTCAAGATACACAGAGATGTATTTGAGATAGATAGGCATTCTTCAAACCTTTCAAAGACCTACAGAATATGGCATTTAAAATGGTTTAGGGTTTTCGTGACAGTGAGACATAATTGCTCCTGGCAACACCACCTGTACCATAAAGGAAGATGGACCTTGAAGAAACGCATTATGAAGTTTACTTCCAATATGGCAACACTAGCCATTTGGACAAGATACTGCTCTTGTCTAGACTGTTTGACTTTGTGCTATATAAACTGGACATGCAGGGCCCACAGAAAAATGACTGCTGATTGAAGATTGACATTGCTACAGAGTTCCTGCTTCATGGAAGAATCTGCCAGACAGTGTGCAGGATACAGAGAAAAATGGCTAACAAACTGCCAATACAAGAAGACAGTTTAAAGTCTCCTGTTTTGCTGAAGAGTCTGCCAGACACACTATGGCCTATGGGCTGAAGATGGAAGATTACAAAAGAACTTCGGCCACCAATGCCTGGCTGAAGTTGGTTTATTATAATACCTGCTGTAGGCTATTTCCTTTCTCTGTGTGTTTTAACTGCTCATGGGCCAATAAAATCTTGACCAGAAGGAAGATATTCTGAAAGGATGGATATACCCTTTCTTTATAATTCCAACCATTCTTCAAGGAATTAGAGTTTCTCTAGGAATCTCATGCTGGGAGAAGGAAAAAGTTGGGGCCCTGGTGCCAGCTTGGAGAATCCATTCCCTAGAGAGATTGTTCACACAGTCTGACAACTTGTTAGAACAGCTCACAGGAAAGACTGAGGCCCAGATATTGGTGTTGGAACCACTGATGAAGGTTGTGTAGCTTCAAATAGCCCTCTGCTTAAACCCAGACCTCATGTTAGGACCCTGAAGATGGACTTGGAAAAGGGACTCAAACTTTTTGTTTTCCTTCCCAGTGTTGCCACACTGAATACGTCTCCCCTTTCCGCTTTTAGCTATTTGCTTTTACTTGTCCATTGTAGTCATTAGTTTTCTGTTGCTGTGATAAAATATTCTGGCAAAAGCAATTCAGGGCTTCTTTTGGCTTATAGTTCCAGAGGGATACAGTTCATCATGATGGGGAAGGCCTTAGGCAGGGAAAGCATGTCAGCAGGAGCAGGAAACTAGCTAAACACACTTTCAGTCACACACAGGAAGCTGAGAAGGAACAGGAGTAGGGTGAGGCTATAAAATCTCACAGCCTACTGATGTACTTCCTCCAACTAGGCTCCACATCCTAAAGGTTCTATAGTCCTCCCAAATACATAATACCACCAGCTGGGAATTGAATGCTCAAATACATGAGCCTATGAGGGACATTTCTCATTCAAGCCACCATGTGGATTGAGGACAGGTAGTTGAACCTAGTTCATTAGGGCTGCCAGGACCTAGACTCTGACCCAGCAACTCCAGTAGCAAAGTCATCTGCTTGGTGTTAATGTGCTAGGCATGTCAGCCCAGATATGTAAGCAGCTGAGGACAAGACCTGGCTCATAGGAAGCACTAAGCTGCCTCAACTCCTATGTACTTCTTTCTTGCCTCTGCCAAGATTTGATCTGTGATGCTGGGCATATTCTTTGTGGACACAATATCTTCATTTGTAAAAAAAACAATAGAATGTAAAGTTAGATCTATGATTCTGAGACAAACCATGTCACTCATGGGATTGTTTCTAATTTGATTTTCAAATAAACAGAAAATGTTTTGGGTACTTTCTTACTTTGCAAGATTATATGGTGAGGAACTCTGCTGACTTTTGGGGGTGGGTGGATGGGGCTAGCAGTGAAAATGCACAGGATGGTGTTGTACATCTCTGGAAGACCTCACATGATGTTCTTGGCAATGGTGATCTGAGCTTCATTACTGAATGTGAAAGCCTGCTTGATGTGTCGGTGTTCAGCATACTTTAGATGGTCTTAAAATATGGGGCATGGGAACGTCTAAGAAAGCAACTCTAGAATGAGTTAAATGGTTGTTGTAATTTGATAGTTTGGAACTTAGAGAGGAATGTTCATCATCTGAGAAGACCGAGGCTCTCACAGCAGCGCTGCTCGTGGGTTCTTGCCACCCTCACACAGCCCCTTCTAGTAGCTGACTATTGAGAATGGGTGTATTTACAGCGAGTCTTTGCTTAATGTGCTGGATAGTACTTTTGGTCATCTGCACATAAATTGGATCACCTGGGAAGAGGCAACCTTCATGTTGAAAATGCCTCTATCAGATTGTCCGGTAGGCAAGTCTGTGGGCATTTTCTTGATTGATGATTGGTGTTAGGTCATTGATGTAGGAGGATCCCCCACTGTGTATGTCCTGAGGCTACTTTCTCTGGAAGCCAGAAGCTTTATAACATTCTAGAAATAAATTTCGAAGAATGTGAAACATCAATTCCAAGCACTGCACTGGTAAGCCTAGGTTATTTACACACAGAAGCTCCTGCCGATGTAACCTGTGACTATTGTTAGTTTTGCTAGGTGTGGCTGTTCTTAAATTGGAGATTCTCCCGCATCTTCTTCCTGAGTGTTGTGATTACAGGTGTGTGTTGTGACACCAAGCTTACTCGTATTATTAATTAATACTACTTAGCCTTAATGTGCTTGTCTCTTCTCAAAAGCTTTGCAAGCACTGACTAATTGGGAGGACCAGGTGAAATGTAGAAGCTTGGTTCATAGGGTTTCGGTGGCAACCCTTCTGGTTTAATTTCCTCCTGGGGCCTAGTGTCCATATTGTGCCCTTCCTCCTTGTCAGGTCCAAATTCCAACTGGTAGACAAAAGCCAGCATTCCTCAGGATCTTGTGAAGCCAGTCCTCTCTGTCAGAGGAGCCACTTCTTTATTCTTGGCAGAAGGGACAAATGGCTATCCATGGTGCCTGCTAGTATGTTAAAGGCATGCTGGCCTCCAGTTTCCCTCAGTGTGACAAGTGCCTGCCACACATATCAGAGTTGTGTTGGTATCCTGGCTCATCCTGCTCTGCATCCTAAATGTCTCCAGCTCACAGGTGACCCTCCGCCAGCTGCTCATTTCTCCTTATAACCCCGCTAGCCCGGCTTTGCTCCCTCTCTTTTATTTTCTGCTCCTGGTCCTCTCATTCCCCGATCCATGACCATGTCCACTCCGCCTGCCATGTTCACTCTACTATTTTCTCTTGCTCTGGACTCTTCCAGATGCCTTTGATTGTTCTCTCCCTCATATCTACAATACAAACCTTCCCTTTAACCACACCTTTG